AGCAAGCCCCAGGGTCCTGTCTCTGCATCCCCAGTACTAGGATTATAGACACTACTACTGTGTCTAGCTTTGTATACATGGGTGCAGAGACTGAACTTAGGCTTATTTGGCAAGGATTTCACTGACTGAACCATCTCCCTATCCCTTACCTTTTCATTTTTAACTTTCCTTTTCCTTACTTTATCTTCTTCTCATTTACTATGTAATAGGGTATGCAGCATGCTATACATAAACCTCTGATCTGCTGATCACACTTCTAATTTCTTCAGAATTGGAAAGGGAGCCAGCACCCCGTCCTCTGTATAACACAGAAACTTGGCCTGTGAGGTTGGATTCAACCTTCACAACAGCCCTTGGGGAGCATTCTGAGAATGGGTGAGACCCCTTGTCTGGGGTCATAGACCTGGGTAGGTAGCATATTGGGGTTCTTGAGGCTATACTTTGCTTCCTGCCTGACGTCTGTAAAGCATGTGCTAACCTTTCTGTATACAACTTCAAACTTGGTCTCCTTTTATGTTGTTGTTAATTCATTTCTTTTTTTTAATAATTTATTTAAATTTATTGTAGGGGCATTGGTGTGAAGGTGTCTGATCCCCTGGAACTGGAGTTACAGACAGTTGTGAGCTGCCATGTGGGTGCTGAGAATTGAACCCAGGTCCTCTGGAAGAGCAGCCAGTGCTCTTAACTGCTGAGCCATCTCTCTAGCCCCTGTTAATTCATTTCTGACCCATATATGTGCTAGAGAAATAAGAAAAGTGGGTAGGGAGCTAAGGGGGAAAGACAGAAAACTTCAATTTACATGCTTTCTCTAAATATACACTACAGATAAGAAAATAAAATCTGCTTTTTTCTTAGCTTGGAGCTTGGGGCCTTAGGGACTCATTGGTATGTTTTTAGAAGTGGGCAGCAACCTGGAAACTGCATATGAAATTTTCTGTGCTCGTTTTTTGGGGGTGGAGAGATGATTTTTAATTTTGAAGAGAATCTTACAGTATTATAGTTGCTACTAAGAAGAGTTGTATGTAGGCTTGCTAGGAGGAAAAGGCAGGTGGCGACGTGTTAGCAATTCATCTTTCCCATTGGCTGTGTTGTGGGTATGTTATGGTTTGGACTAAACCTTCCCATCTGTTCAAATATTTTTGTTTTAGACTATTTATTTGTACTTGTTGGTCTAAGACTAGATAAAAAAAAAATTTCCCAAAAAAGGTGTTACTTTTTGAGATGCCAAAAAATTTTACTAGAAAGAAAATAACAGATCACCATCATCTCCTGACACTATTCCACACATCTAAAGTGTGTGTGTGTGTGTGTGTGTGTGTGTGTGTGTGTGTGTGTGTGTGTTTAAGCTATGTGGTGCACACCTGTAATCCTATTTAGGAGGTGGAGGCAAGACAGAACCCAAAATTGAGGCCACTTTAGACTATATAGTGAGACTGCTTGGCCAGCATATATGAAGACCTGAGTTTGGTTCCCAGCACTACTTAAAACTTGGAGTGGTGGGCCCTGGAGAGATGGCTCAGAGGTTAAGAGCACTGGCTACTCATCCAGAGGACCTGAGTTCAGTTCCCAGCACCCACATGGCAGCTCACAACTGTCTGTAACTCCAATTCCAGGGGATCTGACACCTTCACACCAATGCACATAAGATAAACTTAAATAAATTATTAAAAAAAAAAAAAAACTTGGAGTGGTGGCACCTACCAGTAATCTCAGCTCAGGAAATACAGGTGGCAAGAGGGGGGTCAGAAGTTCAAGGTGGGAACTGGAGAGATGGCTCAGAAGTTAAGAGCACTGGCTACTCTTCCAGAGGACCCAGGTTCCATTTCTAGCACCCACATGGTGGCCCACAGCCATCTGTAACTCCATCCCAGAAGATCCCATGCCCTTTTCTGGCTGCCTCAGGCACCAGCTGTGCTCATAGTACAGAGAGAGACAGACAGACAAAAACACCCATGCACATAAAATTAATAATAATTTAAAAAAGAAGTTCAAGGTCATTCTAAGTTACATAGTTTGAGGCCAGCTTGGACTATATGAGACCCTATCTCAAAAAATTAAAGTATTTATGACTTTTAATTTTTGTGAAATATAAAATTGTAGGGCCAGACATGATGGTACATACTTTCAATCCTAGCACTCTGGAGGCAGAGGCAGGCAGATCTCTGTTAGTTCCAAGCCACTCTGATCTATAGAGAGAATTTCAGGTCAGCCAAGGCTGCATAGTGAGACCTTGGTTTTTTGTTTTGTTTTGTTTATGTTTTTTTTTTTTTGTTTTTGTTTTTGTTTTTCGAGACAGGGTTTCTCTGTGTAGCTTTGCGCCTTTCCTGGTACTCGCTTTGGAGACCAGGCTGGCCTCGAACTCACAGAGATCCGCCTGCCTCTGCCTCCTGAGTGCTGGGAGTAAAGGTGTGCGCCACCACCGCCCGGCTTGTTTTTTTTCCTCAAGTAAAGAAGACATTTCTCGTATATTTTCATTCTCTACATAGGTTTTCTTTCTTTTTTGTTAGCCATCTTTATTTATTATTTTATGTGCATTGGTGTTTTTGTTTGCATGTATATCTGTGTGAGGGTGTTGGATTCTCTGGAACTGGAGTCACAGACAGTTGTGAGCTGCCATGTGGGTGCTGGGAATTGAACCCTGGACCTGTGGAAGAACAGCTAGTGCTCTTAACTGCTGAGCCATCTCTCCAGCCCCTTGGTTAGCCATCTTAAAGATAGACTACTGTGTTAAAAATTTGCATCCTACAAAACTACCCTTGGTCATGGCTAGACTGAGCCTTCCCAGTCCCCCAACATCAAACTTGATATACAGACCAAAATGACTCTGGCTTTGGGATTGTTCTCCCATCCCTGCCTCCTGGGCACACAGGTGGGCAGAGCCACACCACGTTTTCTTCTGGTTCTTGACAGGTGTTGAATTTTAATAGAAACTATCTCAGTAATACACACAAAACTCCTTACCTTAAAAATAAACAGTTCCTTTTGTTTAAAACATATTTCTGCCTATAGATGATGTTTGTGGATAGAACTGAATAGTGGAAAGTGCTTTGAACACTCATTGGAATTCCATGGGTCTTGCAGTGTAGCTTATTTAGTATTTGATTGCATCTTTGGCCCAAGGGGCTTTTATTTGGTGAAAGTTAAAGTTGCTTAAGCTGGCTGTGTGGTGAGTAATACATGCTTGGTTTTGTTCTTGTGTGGACACGTGGGGACTGCTGCTGCTTGCAAGTCATTAGGTAGTACCTAGAAGCAACTCAGCTTTGTTCTCTTCTAGCTAGCTTGTTAGAACTCCTGTAGTACCTAACAGATGGGATGCACTGAAATGTTCAACAAGTATGTGACAGAGTGCTTTGTATAAATGCAAATCCTTATGATTATTTTATAAACCAGAGAATCGACCAAGCTTTACAGTTTTGTAGTTTGCCGCCTTGGCTCCATTTTCTGCATTGGTAGACTACTAAGGTATAGGTTGTTGGTACGGCTTAGGATTGAGAGTAAAAGTTCAGGTTAGAAATTAACTCTACTTTTTGGTCCCTTTATGAACCTTTATGAAGTGGGTCACACCTTCTCTTCCCTAATATTATGAGTTGTTTTATCTAGAACAGGTCAGAGAGGCGTAGGTGACTCCCGTTAGACTTGTTAAAGTTACATAGCAGTTCAGCATTGAGTGTACTGAATAGCTTCTTATTAAGGTTATTTTTAAGAAAAGACAATATAGCAAGATTTTATTTATTTATGGCAAGTAGAACCAATTTTATTAAGAAAAAGCCAGAAGTGATGACTACACCTTTAATCCTTGTACTTGGGACCAAGGTGGCCTAGTCTGCATAGTAAGCTCCAGGACAGCCAGGGCTACATGGTGAGACCCTTGTCTCAATTAAAAGAAGGGAAAAAATAAGCTTTACTTATTTTTAATTAACTAAAAATCAACCCCAAAGTTTTGCAGTAGGTACGAAGTAGATAGTAATAGAATTTTCTCCAGTGCCCACCACATGACAGGCATTCAGTGAACACTGGCTTCCTCCGTTTGTCAGCCAGACAGGACGGTTCCTTCAGCATTAGTCATTTGACTCAGCTGTTTCTGGCTGGCTAACCAGCACTAGGAGGCATGCTGCCAACAAATTGGATGCCCTTCTGATTTTTTTAATGGATGGTTTTAGTTTTCTTAGAACCACATCGACCTAGTGGTTGCCAATTCTCAGAATTTTGACTTCTCCGCAACTGACACATGAAAAACCACCCAGTTGTCGAGTGGATCTAGTGAGCTGTGCACACGTGTCAGAATGCTCCGTCCGGCTTTACTCTGACAGACCTGAAGGCCTTTCTGTTTACAGTTCACTCCTAATTACTGGAGGCCAGGACAGTTTTTCTTCTGTGAGTATACCAGTTAGCTGCCTTATTTCCATGGTCCACACTGCTCCTGTTCCCACCTTCGTTTGTGGGGTCTCCCTCTGGGGCATGTGGTGGCTGATGCTGAAGGAAACTGCCTGGAGGAGTCCCTTGAGTGTCCCACGGCCTCTTGTGTGACTAGACCTGATAGCAGTGGGTCCTGCGGCATCCAGCACGGCAGACATCATGCAGCAGTAGGTATTTATTCAGTCATTGAGGACTTTTTATATGCTGGCATGAATTTAACAGACGTGGCTCTTGGCTGATAGAATGTACATTCTGACTGAAAATGGCAACTCACACAGCCTGTAAAATAATAACCATCCAAGCCGGGTGGTGGTGGTGCACGCCTTTAATCCCTGTACATGGGAGACGGAGGCAGGTTGATCTCTGTGAGTTCGAGGCCAGCCTGGGCTATAGAGTGAGTACCAGGAAAGGCACCAAAGCTACACAGACAAACCCTGTCTCGAAAAATAATAATAATAGTAATAATAATAACCATCCATCATGGTTTATGGAGTTTGATTTTAAATTTTGTATGTTGTGAGAAACACGTGGCCTAAGAAGGAAATGGTGGTGTAATTTTCCCTCTGTTTTCTTTCTCTTTGTAGATAAGCCGTTCCAAGTCCCTTGTAGCTCTCTTGGGAAGAGAGTCAGGAGTGCTCTCTGCTCTTGCCGTAAGAACAGCCAGGTTTGACTTACACGCTGGTGCTGTGACACTGAAGGAACGGCACCCAGGCTCCTGGAGGTTCTTGTTTTCACTGGAGTGGTTAGTTCTCTGTGCATGGAGAAAGATTGGAGTCTTGATTGCCCTGTTTTCAAGGTGTTCTCTATAGTCTGAACCGCTTCAGAAACTGGGCCACTTCCCAATGAGCTACACAGCCAGTCCTTGTGAGGAGCTGGTTGAGAACTGTGCAGCACATGCAGCAGGAATGGCACAGGAAGAGAGCCGTCGGAGTCAGGCGCCACCCGCCTTCTACCATGGTGCCAGCCAGGAGCTCGACCTGTCCACCAAAGTGTACAAAAGAGAGTCTGGAAGCCCTTACTCTGTGCTAGTAGACACCAAGATGAGCAAACCGCATCTCCACGAGACGGAGGAACAGCCATTTTTCAGGGAGACAAGGGCAGTGTCTGAGGTGCACACTGTCAAGGAAGACCGGGAGAATTCTGACGACACGGAGGAGGAGGAGGAAGTCTCTTACAAAAGGGAGCAGATCATAGTGGAGGTAAACCTTAATAATCAAACATTAAATGTGTCTAAAGGGGAAAAGGGTGTCTCTTCTCAGTCCAAAGAGACTCCTGTTCTTAAGACGAGCAGCGAGGAAGGAGAGGAAGAGAGTGAGGAGGAGGCCACAGACGACAGCACCGACTACGGAGAGAACGGACGGCAGAAGAAAAAGGAGAAGCGAGTGGAGAAAGTCAGGGTTACACAAAGGCGAACCCGGAGAGCTGCCTCTGCTGCCGCAGCTACCACTTCCCCTACACCTCGCACAACTCGAGGCCGGAGGAAGAGTGCAGAGCTACCCAAACGGAAGAAGCGGGCTGCCAAGGAGCCCAAAGCACCAGTCCAGAAAGCTAAGTGTGAAGAGAAAGAGACTCTGACCTGTGAGAAGTGCCCCAGGGTGTTTAACACTCGCTGGTACCTGGAGAAGCACATGAACGTTACTCACAGGCGCATGCAGATCTGTGATAAATGTGGCAAGAAGTTTGTCCTGGAAAGTGAGCTGTCCCTTCACCAGCAAACAGACTGTGAAAAAAACATTCAGGTAGGTCTCATCACCAAGAGGGCAAACTTTCCAGGATAGAACCTGGCTGTTCAGAGTCATCTGGTGTCTGCCCAAGAGAATAAATACAGTAGAGGCTGAAGGGACAGAGTTCACCAATTTATCGTTTTAGACGCTGCTGCTTGGGTCTTTTTCAAAACCAAGGCTTAATCCTGTATTTCAAAAGTATTACACTTCCTTGACGCTGGACTAGTGGGAACCCAGGCACACGGAAGGGGGATCTGTTGTAGATGATTGACTGGGATGTAAAGTCAGCGCCGGCTTGCACCGAGAGTCGCTGCTGTAGGACCCGTGAGATAATCCACTCTGGCATCTTCAGTCAGGGTGGGAGGTACTGAGTGAAGGTCAGGAGTAGAGAAAGGTTCTTTCTGTGTAAAAGGATGCCAGAGGCTAGCGCAGCTGACGGGGACAGACCATAATGACTCAGACCTGTGGAAATGGAAGATCTCCTGCAGTGAGTTTCCTTTCACCCGTGGAGAGATGGCAACACTAAATGTGTCAAGAGGCGAGCCCGTGGGAATATGCAGACTTTAAACAGAGGTGTTGGAAATGTTGCTTACCTGGCAGTAGGTTACATAACGTTGCGGTACAGTATTGTTAATGTGACAAAAAAACTGTATTATGACAGGTTAAGAGGTGTTGAATGCATTGCAGCTATATTGGTTTATGCGTATGTTTGTGTGTAAATGTATATTCATACAAGGTAAGTCTGTTATGTTTCCATATGTATAATAATCTACCATTTTAAAGCTGACTTTTTAAAAGATAAATTGTTATACTTTTGGTTTTGGAACTGCTAATATTGGTGACCACCTTTAATTTTTTTCTTTGACAATTGTTTTTAATCAATGACTGAGATCAGTGGCTTCCTTTAAAGAGATTTAAAAATCCACTGATTTGGCTTGTGTATCATGATCAAGACATACTGGGTAAATAAAAGAAGACTCTGCCGTCTTCCCCTGCAGGTGCCTGGGCAGTAGTTGGTTGCAGGGTCAGTCCAACAGAGCATGGTACAGTGCTGCCCCCTAGAGGTCAAACGTGGATTTTATAATGGCTCCTTACTGAAAAGGCGTTCCTCATTTCTGTCTAGGAGCTACTTGTTTTGTGGGTTCTTTTTCTCTCTTCTTTTCTTTTCTTTCTCTCTTCTTTTCTTTTCTTTCTTTCTTTTAAATTGAATTTGCTAAAGTTACAGAAGCAGCAGTTCTTATGAGCGTCTGTGCTTTTCCTCATTATGGTATGTCTCTTGTGCTTGTGTGGTATGGTTCTGTTGAGTGAAAACCTTCCGCATTCCTAGGCTGGTGAGATGACTCAACAGTTAGGAGCACTGGCTGCTCTTTCAGAGGACCTGAGTTTGTGCCCAGCACCCACATGGCAGCTCATAACCATCTGTAACTCCAGTTCCAGGGGTCCAGCACTCTCTTCTGGCCTCCTTGGGCACCAGGCACACACACACTATACATATATACAGTTAGCAAAACACTCATATACATAAATAAAAATGAAGAAATGGTTTTCAGAAAGGAGACCCTTCACATTCCTAAAGAGCCTTGTGTTGAATTTCTTTGTACAGCTCCTGATAATCTGGCAACCTCAGGCTCACAGGTAGTCAGTCTGTCCTTCCCCAGGGCAGTGTCCAGCCAGCACCTGTCTCGGAGCTCTGGAGTCCTCCTCTCCTGCAGTGGCAGTGGTACTCAATCACGAGGCTTTAGTAACTGAGTTCTCCAAGTTTATCCCTCGGAGCCTGGCCGTTGTCAAGAACTCTCTGGTGGTGTTTTGTTTATTTCGTCATACTTTATGCCAGGGTGCTAATGAGCCATGATTTGAAGAGCTGGGCATTGTGACGTGAGGAGGTCTGGAACTGTGAAAGAAGAGGAGGAGGAGGAGGATGGCCAGTGGTTAGAGGTTATGTTAGCTTCTGTCTGGGGAAATGGCAGCAGAGTAAATTAGATGCAGGGAAAGTTAGTAACCTTGAGCATTTGTTACAGAATTTTTCAAAATGGTGTTTTCTAATGCAGAAGGACGTTGTTACAGTCTTCAGATCTATAATGCTTATATATCTTGCCTTTATTTATGCTCATTTCAAACTTCTGTTCTCTGGTAAACACCTCCTAACTGTATGGCACCCTGAACTGGGACAGCTGTGCTTGCTGGTCTATGTCATAAGCAAGCCTGAAGGCCTAGCAGGTGTGCTAATGTATACTTATGTTCCCTGCACCTGGGACAGAGGCAGGATCATGATTTGAGGCTGGCCTTGGCCAATAGTAAGTTAAGACCACCCTGGGCTCTATAGTGAGACACCCTATCTCAAAATAAACAACAACTACTACATATGTGTGTGTTTATATGTATATATATGTATGTGTGTGTATACATACATATATGTGTGTGTGTGTGTGTGTGTGTGTGTGTGTGTGTGTGTGTGTGTATGCCAAACAAAGTAAATGTTCTTTTCCTAAGTGCAACACTGAAGTGGTAATAGCAATTAGTTCTTTGTTGTCAGTGGAACTTTCCAAGTGTTGCCTTAGACTCTGCCATTGTTTGTATGCTACCAAGGTGTCTAAAAGCTGGATCTTGGACAATAGAACATACATATGTTGGTGTTGGAATGTGGACTCCATGGAGGAATAGTTTTTTGTCAAGATTCTGACCTTGTGCCACAAATCTAAAGTAGATCCATTTCATCTGCCAGGAGGCAGGATGGCCTCCTGAAGTCTCCATAAATAAAGGCTCTTTCTGTTTATCCTGCTCAGTGTGTTTCCTGTAACAAATCCTTCAAGAAACTCTGGTCCCTTCATGAACATATCAAGATTGTCCATGGATATGCAGAAAAAAAATTTGCCTGTGAGATTTGTGAGAAGAAGTTCTATACCATGGCTCACGTGCGGAAACACATGGTCGGTAAGTCTCTGCCCTCCTCACTCAGCCTGTGATGGTCTCTGAAGTACTCTGCTCCACAGTAGCAACTACGTAGAGCCGCCATACTGCTGTTGGTTTTAACTCCTTGAGACTAAATGCAGCGGGTCTCGAGCATCGCCAGGTTGGACGGCGCGGTCTTCCCACCTAGAGTTCTCCTGAGCACTGCTGTTCCTTTCCCTCCGGAACATTTCTGTTAAAGTGCCACACCTTAGGACGTCTGTCCCTTCCAGTCTGAGTGTTTTAGTGGAATTGTTTTGAGTTTAAATGTATTCTGTGTTACAGCACACACAAAAGACATGCCATTTACATGTGAAACCTGTGGAAAATCTTTCAAGCGCAGTATGTCACTCAAGGTGCACTCCTTGCAGCATTCTGGAGAGAAACCCTTCAGATGTGAGGTAATGAACAGGCCATACACAGACCAGCTCCAAAGCTAGGGTGTGTTGATGATGCAGCAGTGAGAACAGAGTGCGGGATGCAAAGCACAAGGCTGGGAACCACTGAAGCTTCAGCTGTGCACCGGGTTTGGGGGGTTCTCTCCCTGCTAGGAAGAGAAATGTCCTATTAGCACACAGTTGAGTCTTTAGGTTAGCTGGGGAGTAATGTGCAGTAGCTGACTTTTCTTTCTCAGCGATTCAGAAAAGTTGAGTATGAGCCAGTGATAATCACATGAGAAAATTTCCCTTGTCTTCAGCTGCAGGAACATAGCAAATCCAAACAGCTGCCATAAGCAGCTTGTGTTTTGAGTATGAAAATGAACCCATAAGGCTGTGAGGGTAGGCTGGAGTGACGCTTCTGTGCTTGGCCGCCAACCCCACCTCTGTGTCCACTGCAGAACTGTGATGAGAGGTTCCAGTACAAGTACCAGCTCCGCTCCCACATGAGCATCCACATTGGGCACAAGCAGTTCATGTGCCAGTGGTGTGGCAAGGACTTCAACATGAAGCAGTACTTCGATGAGCACATGAAGACGCACACTGGTAAGGATCTCTTGGCAGGGTACACATGGCCCCGCCTGCTCGTTGGTAGTCATTTGGGGATCTGTCTTTAAATCCAAACCATAACTTTGTGTTGTTTTCCTGTTTTGTCTTGTCTGGAGATGAAGTCCTGCTGTGCAGCCCAGGCTGGTCTCAGACTCACAGCAATCCTCCTGCCTTGATCTCCTAGGTGCTGAGGTCAGAGGTGTGCACCACCATGCCTGGCACAGATTTGCTTTGTAAGTGAAAATCTCACTAAGCCTGCGAGACAAAAATTGATCTACAATACTGAAATTTTCTCTTTTATAACTATTTTTAAAAGATGTGTTTATGTGAATGCCTTTTGAGTTTGTGTGTGTTTGTTCTTTGTTTTTTGTTTTCTGAGACAGACTGTCCTACTGAAGCACAGACTGTCCTGGAACCCATAGCAATCCTCCTGCCTTTGGCTCCCACGCTAGGATTACAGGTGTGTGCCACCGTGTCAACTGTAAATGGCTTGTTTGTTTTGTCTTATTTTTTGAGACAGGGTCTCTCTGTAGACCAGGCTGGCCTTGTCTCTGCCTCCGGAGTACTGGGATTAAAGGCATTAAGGGCCGACCAGGAATGATGGTGCATGACTTTAATCCCAGCACTCAGGAGGCAGAGGCAGGCAGATCTCTTTGAGTTCGAATCCAGCCTAATCTATAGAGCGAGATCCAGGACAGACTCCAAAACTACACAGAGGAAACCCTGTGTCGAAAAACCAAAAAAGAAAGAAAGAAAATTAGGAACTAAATAAAATCTTACCACAGAGAGCACCAAGATTTAGCCAAATAATAACATTTTGGCTAATTTAATCTATTATTATTATTTATTATTGTTATTATTATTTTTTTTGTGGGGGAGGGGGGTTTCAAGACAGGGTTTCTCTGTGTAGCCCTGGCTGTCCTGGAACTCTCTCTGTAGACCAGGCTGACCTTGAACTCAGAGATCTGCCTGCCTCTGCCTCCCAAATGCTGGAACGAAAGGTGTGCACCACCACCACCTGGCTCCTATTTTATTTTATTTTTTTTTAAAGATTTTATTTATTATTTTTATTTTATATGTATGAGTATTTTTGCCTGCATGTATGTATGTTCACTGCATGTGTACCTGGTGCCCTTGGAGGCCAGAAGAGGACACTAAATCACCTAGAACTGGAATTAAGGATGATTGTAAACTGTCATTTGGGTACTGGGAACTGAACCTGGGTTCTCAGCAAGAGCCAAGTACTCTTAACCACTGAGCCGTCTCTCCAGCCCAGGATTTACTCTATTTAAAAAAAAAAAAAAATTCTTCCAAGGGCTAAACATGTAGCCAGTGATATAGCATGTGCGTAGCAGGAGCAGACTCAGTAAGGTCTAGGCAAGTACTGTGTCTACAGTGTTCATGCATGTGATAATACAGTTGGGTCCTTATACTTTATCACAACCTGCTTTTATTTACTTGTTTTTATTTTTATTTTATTTATTTATTTATTTATTTATTGGTTTTTTCGAGACAGGGTTTATTGAGTAGTAGTATCTGTCTTTTCTGAATTGCTTATGCCTTTCTTACTGTTGACAGTAGGTCTTGATGTGTTAAGTATATTAGACTTTGTTCAACATCAATATTGAAATACTTCTCATCCCGTCTTTCATCTGCCTTTCAGGATTGTTTGTGATAGTAGAACTGGAAAAGCAGCTGGATGGTGGCTTTGAAGAAGCCTCACTAGCAGGATTGTGCAGCTAGTTGGCCTCTAGTTCCATGGCATTAAATAAGAATGACCGTAGTGTCTAGAGAATACAGGATTAGAGAGCTTTAGAGGAAAAGAGAGAAAGCTGGATGAAATGACATTTATAAGGAGCAGCTGTTTGGGTGGGAATCACAGCCATTGTGGGAACTAGCATTAAAGTAAGGCAGATCTTTTGTTTATTTTTATGTGCATTGGTGTTTTGCCTGTGTAAGGATGTCCAGTCCCCTGGAACTAAAGTTACAGACAGTTTTGAGCCGCCGTGTGGGTGCTAGGAATTGAAGCTGGGTTCTCTGGAAGAACAGTCAGTGGTGTTCTTAACCGCTGAGTCATGTCTCCAGCCACATAAGGCAGATCTTACCTAGGAAAGCTGACCACCATCAGGCAGGGTTCCTAGTACAGTCTAGGCACAGGGTAAGTTTAAAGCAGAATGTTTGCTGATTGTCCTCATACCACATGCGTAAGGGCACCAGGATGAATGAAGAACTGTTTCTGCCCTCCAGAAATGGTCCACTGACTAACAATAGTGATAATGACAATAACACTGAGCACCTGTGTGCCGGGTGCTACTCTAAGCACCAGCTTGCGTTTATCCCACAGTGACCTATTTGGGGGGTTGTTTTTAGTTTTGAAATAAAGAAGCTGAGGTTAAAGAGTAAATAATTTGCTCAAGACAGCTTTACTCTAACTGGACACTCAGTGATTCTGTTACTATTTAATGTAACAAGTAATAAAACAGGGTATATTGGATATTATAAATGTAGGAAGCATCATCACGGGGTCTGGTTCTCAAATCTAGGGTTTGCTCACTGTAGTCAGCCTCTCAAGATCAGAGGTTCTTAGATATGTTACATGATCCTGATGATATCAAATTGCTTATTTATTATATGTGAATGGCAAGTAGTTTGGAAGGCTTATTATTATTATTATTATTATTATTATTATTATTATTATTATATGTGTATGGATGTTTTGCCTGCATATATATCTGTGTTTCATATGCTTGCCTGGTGAAGAGGCCAGAAGAGGGTGTTGGATTCCTGAGACTAGAGTTATAGATGGTTGTGAGCCACCATGTGAGTGCTGGGAATTGAACCCAAGTCCTCTGGAAGAGCAGCCAGTGGTCTTAACCATTGAGCCTTCTCTCAGCCCAGGTTTTTTTGTTTGTTTGTTTCTGTCCTAGGGATTGAACTTAGGGTCTCAACATGTGCTAGTCAAGTCCTCTACTGCAGAGCTACATCTCCAGCCCAGGCCAGACTGTTAATGCCTTTTGGTCAACATTGTTTGCCTAAACTAAACTCTATATTAGAAGCTGAATTATGAGAAGATTGCCAGGGATAGAGAATTAGCAAAAGAAGGTAATGTAATGATCTAAATGGTGATCGCCATACTTCATTGAATCCAGGTTGTTTTAAGTTGTAAAATTAATTTATATGCTGCTGAGAAAATGTTGTAAATTAAACAGTGATATGCCATTGAATATAAGGTAAATGACAGTTTCAGAGGCATTAAAATGTGAGAAGAAATTCCTGTTTTTACACTTTTAAAATTTGTTTATGCATATTTTTTAAGAGCCTACCAAGGCCAGGCATGGTGGTGCACACACACCTTTAATTCCAGCACTTGGGAGGCAAAGGCAGGCGATCTGAGTTTGAGGCCAGCCTGGTCCACATGGTGAGTTCTAGGACAACTAGGGCTACGTAGAGAGGCCCTGTCTCAAAAAAACAAAAATGGGATGAAGAGCCTCCTAAACGAAGCTGCTGTGGTAAGCAAGCTGGAGATAGCCCTTAGCTCCACAAAGCTTATGCTCAGGCTGGGTGGGTGTGGAGACTAGCAAAGGCTGATGGCAGTTTTGTGCTGACAGCTTGGGAGTCCACTGAACTAAGAGTGTCATGGGTGTGCAGAGAGGCAGGAGTATGAGGCATGGTCCTGGAGAGCAGGGAACAGAGGCTCTAATATAAACCTCGTACGAAACCTTTGGACTTAAAGAACAGTGAGAAGGGTGTGGCTTTTCTGGTGTGGGACACTGTTTTGAGAGTTCACCTTGGCTCCAGTGTAGAGAGTGAGGGGTGAAGAACACAGATGGTAGACCAGTGAGGTAAAGTGAGAGTTGGTCCCAAAGGCTTTCGAAGATCGTCTAGGTAGAAAATAGTGGAGAATGGAGCGGTCTGCTCCGTGGGGTGATGAGTCTAACTTTGTTTTGTTAGTTTCAGATCCGTGGCACATTCAAGTGGAAATGACCAGTAAGCAGTTTGAGACCGGATTGAAAGCTCAAGGAGATTTATTTACATAGATAGATGGATGGATATCTGATGCTGCCAAAGATATTCATGCTGTGTAGGCAGGAATGCTTGGAGTTGTGGGACAGATCACTCTTCCCCGTGCACAGTGCAAAAGACAACCGCCCAAGTCCTTTTCTGTCTTCCCTGAAGACTCCTCTTCATTTATAATGCCTTTTTTTTTTTAAGTAGCAAGATAACTTTATTTATAGCACAGTGATAGTACAGACTGTGGAGGGATGTGCTGTCAAGATTGACAGCAGTAGAATGCCCTTCTTCAGGCTACTTACAATTCGGCTTCTAGAGCTGGGTCAGCTGGGTCTACTAGGTAGATCTCTAGAGAAGTTAATGTGCATGCTTTTCTAGTTATCTTGTGAATTTAGCTGTCCCCTCTAGCCCACATTTCCCAGCCTTCTTTAAAGTAGAGCATGATACAGTGGTTGACTTCAAACGTTACATTTTTATTTTATCTTAAGCTTCAGAGTAACCTTAACACTAATAATTAAGCACAGGCAGCCAATGGAGCCAAATAAATAGAGTCAGAGGTACAGGGGTAATGGGTTTATGTCAAGTGAAGGCATGTGACAAAAATGTGGAAATTTTTGCTAATATATTAAGAAATAAAAGATTGGCCAGACAGTGGTGGCACACGCCTTTAATTCTAACACTGGGGAAGCAGATGCAGGTGGATTTCTATGAGTTCGATGCCAGCCTGGTCTACAGAGAGAGTTCCATGACAGCTAAGACTACGCATGACAGAGAAACCCTGTCACAGAAAAAAATAAAAGAAGTAAAAGATTACTAATTCAGTAAGATTTTCATTTGAATCATGGACTTGTAATCAGCCCCAACTCTTTTGAACCTTTCTCTGGCAAGTCACAATGGCCAGGAGATTATGAGTGGAGATGATTAAAGAGAGCTAGAGAATTAAACATGTTTATTGAGAACCTTCAGTATGTGCTGCTTGTGAGTGATGTGTGTGTGTGTGTGTGTGTGTGTGGTGAGTCAGAGCATAGGATCTCACTAGACTAGTTGGTCAGACAAAGTCCTTGCACTGTTTCCGTGTGGCTGCTACAGATGACGAACAAGGATTTTGAGAGCAAGGATGGGAGGTCAGGGCTGAAGAGGGTAGCAAACAGCTGTCCTTTTAAATACTTTACTAGGGAACAATCTTGTTTCCCAGAACTCAGGAGACTGAGGCAGAAGGATTGCCATGAGTTTAAGGCCAGCCCAGACTACAGAGTGATTACCAGACCAGCCAGGGCTACATAGCAAAAACCTATCTTTAAAAAAAAAAAAATTATGCATTTTATTGAATAAGTAGGTCATGTTTATTTCAGCAAAACAAATACAGACAAGTATTTAAAATAAGAATGGACTGGAGAGATGACCCAGTGTTTAAGAACACTTGATGCTCTTGAAGAAAGCCTGGGTTCAGTTCCCCACACCCATATGTTGGCTCACAACTATCTGTAACTCCAGTCCAAAGGCTCCGGTCCCTTCTGGCCTCTGTGGTCACCAGGCATGAATGTGAAACATACATGCAGGCAAAACAGACACATAAAATATATAGACATACGTGTGTATATGTATGTCTATATATATTTTTTAATAAGGCTGGGTGTGGTGGTACATGCCTTGGTAATTTCAGCACTTGAAAGTCAGAGGCAGCTGAATCACACTGAGCCAGCCTTATCTACATATGGAGTTGTGGGCCAACCAGGGCTACATTTAAAAAAAGAAAAACAAGAAAGAATGAACCATCTATAATCCTGTTACTTAGAAGTCCTGGAAGTAATCTTGACAATACAGTGTGTTTCTTTCCATGCCTTTCGTGTGCATATTTTACATGAGAGTGGCTAATGCTATGCACATATTTTCATAACTTGTTTTCCTTTACTAATAGATTACAGATACCTTTACATAGATTTCATGGTGATAATTATATTTCTATGCTATATACAATTGTTTCCAATGGCGTTTCTCTCAGATGGATATAACCAGAACCACTTAGCATGCAATTAGAAGAGTTTGTTTGATTGACTGATTACATATATTTATTTGGGGGTGAGGATGAACTTGTGGCCTGGAGCATTTATGGTGGTCAAAGAACAACTTTTGAGGTCAATTCTCTCCTGCCGTGGGGGTCATACTCACGTTCTCAGTCATGGCAACAACCACCTTTACCCACGGAACCATCTCACTGGCCATATTTGAAGTTCTTAAGATGATTAAAGGGAAACTAAGCATAGTGACACAAGCCTGTGACACCAGCACTTGGTAGGTGGAGGCATGAGAATCAGAAGTTCAAGGTCATCCTTGACTACATAGGAAATGTAAGGTCCCCTTTTGGGATGTATGAGACCCTGTCTGTAAAGGGAAGAGGGAAGTGATTGGAGGAGCCAGGTACTTGTGGTTCACACCAGTAATCCCGGCACTCTGGAATCTGAAGGCAAGAGATCTTGAGTTCCGAGCCAGCCTGAGATACATAATGAAACCCTGTCTCAAAAAGGAAAGGAAGGGAGGAAGAATGAAGAAAGAGAAGATGGAAGGAAATGGATTAAAAAGGAGCCAATCGAGGCTCGGCATTCAGCCAGAAAGATGAGGGTGAGTCACAGTGAAGGCTCTTCAACAAGGGAAGGCGGCTCTATCGGACTCTTTAGTTCACCTCTCTTTTTTAAAGATTTTATTTATTTATCATGTATACAGTGAGTGTTCAGCCTGCAGGCCAGAAGAGGGCACCAGATCTCATTACAGGTGGTTGTGAGCCACCCTGTGGTTGCTGGGAATTGAACTCAGGACCCCTGGAAGAACAGCCAGTGCTCTCAACCTCTGAGCCATCTCTCCAGCCCCTAGTTCCATCTCTTAGGAAGCATGGGTGGGTAGGGTGGAGTTCTGGCTTCCGTGAAGGAGGCAATGGGAGATCCAGCTTTTCACTAGAATAATAAAGAAACTGGACTATGGTGTGGGTAAAGAGGTGTTTGTTCCTGGTTATGAGTTATGAGTTTCATAAAAAAGTAAGAAATGCATTCTTTCATGCATGTAGCAATACACCCATAGGGTAGGAAGTGCTGTAAGAAATGCATTCTTTCATGCATGTAGCAATACACCCATAGGGTAGGAAGTGCTGTAAGAAATGCATTCTTTCATGCATGTAGCAATACACCCATAGGGTAGGAAGTGCTGTAAGAAATGCATTCTTTCATGCATGTAGAAATACACCCATAAGGTAGGAAGTACTGTGGCTTCTGTGCCAGCAGCACAGACTGCGAGCTAGACTTAAGGGTTCCTAACTTGTGCCTAACAGATCACCTTGGGCAAGCTAGCCCACAGACAATAGGGATAGTATCCTACCTCATACAGTTGCTGTGAGAGTGGAAAGCTACCATGGAGTGATTGGAGTAGAGCAGGTTCCCTGAGTAAGACTTACTGCACAGAGGGGTGAGAACCTGCTGCAAGGAAAGGGGTGGTGGCTGAAGTGACGTGAGCGGCACAGCAGTAGTTAACCTACAGAGACAAGGTGCCATAGGTCACACCTGCAGCATCCACCACTGCCTCTAATTTCCCCCTCTTCCCCTTCCAGCACGGTAGGTTATAAGGTGTATTTGTGCCTCCTGTGACCTGTTCAAGTCTCAGTTTGGGGAACAGAATGCTGAGGGGGAAGCATGAGTGGCAGGTACCCATCTCCACACCCCGAACATCAGCCGTTTGTCTGTGTTCATCTCAGGAGAGAAACCTTTTATCTGTGAAATCTGTGGCAAAAGCTTCACCAGTCGACCCAACATGAAGAGGCATCGCAGAACTCACACAGGCGAGAAGCCTTACCCCTGTGACGTGTGTGGCCAGCGGTTCCGCTTCTCCAACATGCTGAAGGCCCACAAGGAGAAGTGCTTCCGAGTGACCAGTCCAGTGAACGTGCCACCAGCTGTCCAGATCCCTCTGACCTCGGCGCCGGCTGCTCCCGCTCCAGCTGTGGCCAACACTCCCACGAGCCCAGCCCCCGCAGTCAATATGAACCCCGTGGGCGGCGGCACACTTCCCTCAAGGCCCGTCCCGCACCCTTTCTCACACCTGCACATCCACACGCATCCACACCATGCGCACCACCTCCCTATTCCACCTGTGCCTCACCTGCCCCCACCCCCGGCCCTCTTCAAGAGTGAGCCCCTCAACCACAGAGGCCAGAGCGAGGACACCTTCCTGAGGCACCTGGCAGAGAAGAACAGCGCGGCCCCGGCCCAGCATCATTAGCACCCGCCCGAGTGTCATCCCCGTGGTGAGTTGGAAGATGGGTGCAGCTGTACCTCTCTGGGGTCTCCCTGCCTCCACGGCCTCCTGAATTCAGGGCCTTGGCCATTGTCCTGGTGAACCATCAGACTGACCCGAGGGAGTGAACAAGAAGACTGCCCTCGCAACCCGGGGAACCACCGAACTAAAGCCCAGTTTGCTTGCATTTTCTGATGACTTTTATAAATTTCAGATACTCGGACTGTGGGATTTTATAATTTCATATCAGCGGATGAGGTATGCTTGCTTTTATATCCTGGTCTTCTCCTCAAAGAGGAGACGGGCCTGGTTTCCTTTATACTAATCGGGAAGGCTGTGAGATTAATCCAGAGCATTAACTGTATCACTGTGTATCGTAATGAATTCTTTTCAGCTTTTGGTGCTGACTGTAGGCAAGCTGGCCACGTTTCACACAATATCAAGCATTATAGAGAAGATGGGAATTTTCTTCTTTGTGTAGCTCTTTTAACACACTCTTTATTTTACTACAGAAATTATTTTAGAGTTTTTGTATAGACTTTAGTAGTCTGTTTCTAAAATGAAATGTATTTCAATAAGCTGTGTAATTTTTTCAGTGTAGCCAAACCCATGTTGTAAAATAGATAAATTTTTTATAATCATCAAAATGTGATTCTTAAAGATACATATAATAAGTTCTATTTCAAATTTATTCTTACATCCGTACAACTCAAAGGTGCTTCTGAGACTGAATGGGGGTCAGCAGACCAGATTACTACAAAAGCAAGGTTCAGTAACTTGGAAATCCCTGCTGGGCACTCAGTCCGTCAGGCTCACGGACACCTCCATCCTTGGTGTCCCTTTGCGCCTGTGCATTCAGTGGGGTGCTGTGCTGGGGCAGGTCATCAAAAACTTGCCTGATTTGGAAATCTGAGGAACGTTGTGAATACCTGCAGAAGGAAGTGGCAGAGGATTCCTTTTGGTCACGTCTGTTTCTCACTTCTCTTAGGACCTGTGTCGTGCTCAGCTGTTAGGAGAAGATAAATTGGAATCTCTTATTTTGAGGTTGCTGTGTTTTCCAAGAGTTGGTAGGAGAAGCTAAATGGTGAACTGAAATCACAAATGTAGTTGGTGATAGTGGCTGAGAAATGGGAGGTGGGGAGAAGACAAATTGGCTTTTAAGTTTCAAAATGTCTGCAGTCTCTAAAGTGTGGGTGTCCACACTGATCTGCATCTGCCATCAATTGTAGTGAGAGGAACTCCCCCCGCCCCCAGTAGTGCTGCCCCATCCTCTTAGGTAGGTGAGGAAGGAGCGACAGCCCTGCCCCTGGGCACCTCACTCGGTCACTTGGGGGAACTTGCACCGAGTGTGGTCACCCTGGAGCGGATTATGTGGAAAGCTAAGAAGGGCTGACACAGTGGTTCAGTTTAGCTGGCAGATGTGTGCAGCGGAGCTACACACTTTATACTTCTTCACCTTAGAGAGTGAGTCCAAAAAGTGGCCACTTACCACTTCTCTTCCGCTTCTCTCCTTAAAAATCTCAGAATTCTCTCATTTCTCTTTCCTCAGGCTCTCAAATCACAGCCTTAGCTGTTATTTATTTATCTTTGATATTAAATGTGCAGATATGCGTCATGCACTTTTTTCTGGCCACTTAACTCTGCAGTGGGAACACATGGACTCTGGATTGAGGTGAGTGAGGTTCCTGCTTTTCAGCATCCTCCTCTACATTAGTTTTGGTTAATATTTCTAGATTGACTCCAGTTTCACCATGTGCTCTGCAGTGATAGGAAAAATTGTGTGCTGAGGCAGAAAAGTATCTCAGGACACACTTTTCCTCTAGTTCTAGGTATACATTTTAATGCGTGGTAATTTTAATATTTTCATACATTCTTGGAGCACCCGCACACCCAAGCCAAATAAGGAAGCCAGTTCTTTGATTCTGACTGTTATGGCCTTAGAGGCTCTCCAGTCACCTCCACAGTCTCCTTTGTATCCCATGGGAAGTCTGCAGATCTGCACGTTCATGTAGACATAAACTATTTCATGGTCAAGCCTATAATATTAAAATACTTTTATCAAAGAAGTATACATTGTAGCTTAGTTAATTGGTTGTATCTTATTTTATACTAAATGATTTTACGATATTGGGCAGAGATTCTGAATTCTAGACTTGAGGCTGTTGACTCAACCATTTTATGGATGTACTATGAATACTCATTAAAAAATTCAGGTAGTCAGTTTTGATTTTTTTTTATTCAAATGACTATAGCCATAAGAAACTGTTTGCTACATAGGAAGTCCAGTAGTAACTCAATAACCACCACTATCCTTAACAGAAGCAGGAAAACAGGAATTTAAAAAAAATAAATTAGCACTGTCACACTGTATAATTCTTACTGAAATGTATTGTGGAACAATCTAGAAATGCCATTTTTTTTTTTCCTGGATAAGTATATCTTCCCTGACTTGGGATTTGTAGGAAACCTGCTCTAAAAACTGACCCTCACCAGCACCATGTGTGAATAATGAAAGTATAATGAAATCCACACAGAAGTGCTTCTGAGCACGGGGGCCACAGGGGCCACAGGGTTGGGCCTGAAGCTTGCAGGTGTGTTGGGTTTAACGTGCTGAAGACTCAAACTCAGGGTTGAAATTGTGCTTGGGGTCCGCTCGGAAGATAAAAGTTGTGTTGTGTGGTGTGCCCTCCCACGGGTGCTGCAGCACCCCAAGAGTTCTGCAGAACCTCTTACATTCTTGTTATCTGTTAGAAAAAAGACCGTGGAGGAGTTTGAGTTCTAGGCCCATCTATACTTTCGTCTTGTAAAGACAGCAGCCACATTCCAGAATGACATATTAAATTGAGGCTTTTTCATTGTCACTTTATACTACCTTCAAAGGCCTGTATCATCACAAGGATTATTTGATCTTCAAATGGTTTTTATTGTTGCAAGGATTACTTATTTACCTATATGTAGACCAGGCTAGCCTCAAACTCACAGCCTGAGAGAGGACTGGGTCTAGAGGAGTGAACCACAGCAGCCAGCACCTAAGAACTTTTTGTTGTCATTGTTTTTGAGAAATGGTCTCACTGAATACCCTGGCTGGCCTTGAACTCCCTACATGGACCATGGTAGCCTCAAACCAGTAACTCCCCCCACCTCAGCTTCCCAAGAGCTGGGATTATGGGTGCCTGCTTCAGCCTGCCTGGCTTCTTCCCCAAGGATGTTTTTGAGTTGGCATTACATTTTTAGAGGTTGGATTGTACATCTTTTGCTCTCTTCTCACAGATTTAATGAAAGGTTGCTGCTCTCAAATGGAGTCAAGTGGGCTCCTACTGGGTTAGATTTCCAAACTGAATGACAAGAACATAAACCCTTTAAAGGCATGTGGCTTCATTTTTCTATATTATTTTTTACTTGATACTTATTTTTAGCAAATGGGGAAGTCTCCACATAAAACTTTAATAAAGTTGAAAGAAACCTTTGAAAGTCATTTCCATGTACTGTCTTAGGAACCCTCTGAATCAGTCCTTCTGCATGGGCCTTTTTGGAGTTGTCCTGTCTAAGAACCTCCTCATTTGAAAGCATCTTTCTGAGCTGGACCCCCTGCCACTGCTAACCAGAGGCAAAATCTCTGACGCTTTGAATTTTTAACTCGTTGAAATTTCAGTTTTTATTATTATTGAATGGATATGTGTTTAGTTTCACTTTTGTCTCACTGAAAGATTTAAAATTTGAGGCTATGAAGCAGAGAACTCCATTGCAGGTGTGTGTGTGTGTGTGTGTGTGTGTGTGTGTGTGTGTGTGTGTGTGTGTGCGCGCGCGCGCATGGGTATAATAAATCAATAGGTATATATACATGTATATGTGTATGTATACATATACATATATACATACATATATATGTGGATTTATTTCCTCTTGCAGATTTTGGTTAGGAAAATACACTATGGTAGGTGAGTTTTTGTGTTAAAGAGAGAAAAACTAAAACTTCCATTAAAAGAACCCCTGTTTCAGTTAAAGGAACCCTCTGTTTAAGCTACTGTATGAAAAATACCACTTTTGTTACTTTGATGGTCCACATGATGTAGATTTTGATGCTGTTCCAAACTATCTATGGAACATGTCATGAAAAGAAGGTATGTTACATATAACCATTTTATCAACTCTTTTTAAAAAAATCAGCTGGGATTGTTATAACTCTGAAGCTGAGCAAAACATTATCAGGTTTTAAGTTTTTTCTTTACTTAAACTAAGTTAGAAAATTCCCCAAGAGTTCTCTCTCTCCATCTTTTTTTTTTTTTCTTTTTTCAGGAATAAAAGGTCATTAGCCATTAGAAATAGTGGCATTGTTATGCAATAACAACTCACTAGCTAGTCTGCTTCTGTCATCTGTAGCATTCATGAGCAGTAATGCTGACCTTCCAACCCTGGAACTACCTCGATAAAGCAACCCAGAGATCCTCGCTACACTTTCTATGGAAGCCATAAACGTTGTCAGTATGTCCACCTTCACAGTTCTATACTTTTATACTCACTAGACTTTTTATAGACTTATAATCAGACCTTTTCATCTTAGAGGATAGCTTTTGCAAGACTCCAAGGAAAATCAAATTCCTTAAATGTCCCAACTTTGAAGCTCTAGCTTCAGTAAATTTGTTTAAAGAGCCAGATGCCATACCATTCCAAAACAAAAAACAAAAAAACAAAAATCACACATGTAAATCAAAACTACTTTGCAGACCTATATATTCTGAAAATAGATTCCTTTTTCTTGTTCCCTTAGTAGAGGCTGTGTTGTGATAAAGTGAGTCTTTCCACCCTGTTAACTGGGTGTTCTTGGTTGCTTTGTGCACAGTGACGTTTTCTGGAGTTGTTTCTATTACTGTAGCACAGGAGTGAGTAGTTACCTGTTCTTCTGACCCTCGGCTGTTGTGTGTGGCTTTAGTCTACATCACTGCTCTCGAGTGCCTTCAAAAAGCCCATGTCCTGGAACCTCTGTCCCTGGTCTGGATCCTACCTCTGATTGTTTCATTCTGCATGAGTATTGGAATTCACCCTTAACCCAAAGGGCTTAACTTGCTAAAACCTGGCTAAGGATTGTGAACACATTTATGTTTTGTCCCCCCATGTTGCTGCTGTTTCTCTCTGTATCTTTCTCCCCACGTTCGACACCTCTACTACTAGAGCCGTCCTGGTCCTTGGCCTTCTTTCTGTTCTTTCACTGAAGACTGAGTGTTCTTTTATATCAGAGGTCAGCCAGTATGTCTCTGGGCCATCTTTTTCTCATCTGAAGTCTTCCTGAATGCCTACCCTTTCGAATTAAAGGAATGCTAAATGCTGCTGTTGCTACACATTCTCTCTTTCATAAACGTTTCACAGGGTTCCTCCCGTGATCTTCTTTTAGTCATAGGAATTTAAAAGTGCTCTCGGGGTTTAACAGAAGTCCTTTATTGTTTTTTTTTTGGGGGGGGAATCGGCTCCTCTCACCCAGCTACCTGTCCCCTCACAAACCCATTTATTTTCTTTTCTAGTTGTTCTCTTACAAGTCATTTAAAAAGTGTAATTGGTGTATAATATATGAAAGATGTAATAAAAAGGAAGCTGAAGTGTGTTCTGTGTGTAGTATGTGCACTTACTTCATTGATTAAAAATTACTTAGCACCTGGCCCACCTTGGTCTTTCCCACCCCAAATTAAAGCTTGTGCTATGTAATGGGTTGACTGTCCCCTCCTAAAGTGGAAGCAGATGAACTCTTTCAGTGAGGAAATTGGATTTGTTTGTGTAGGTGAATGAACACTAATGAGTATTTGACCTTAGTCAAAATCTTTGCTTTCTGACTTACAATCTCCTGCCTCTTTCCTGAAAGTTATTAGTACGGAGGCATCCAGGACTGATAGCTGCAGGAGGTAGGAGTCTCAAAAGGCAGCTGTTGATAAATTTTTAATACTTTTTGTCTGGAAACAGACAAGATATTAATTGGTGGGACAGGAGCAGATTGTGAGGTTTTTTTTGATAACATAGAAGTCAAGACGTTTGAATGTTTCACTGGTTATTTGCAGTGAGGGCAGTATGCCAACTGTACGAGGTAGAGTCTACTGTAGAAATCATGAACAGGCTTCGTTCGGCCTTGCTGTTGCCCATCACTGATCTGGACAGTCACTTCTTGAGAACTGGATGCCTAAAAGTACCTGCTTTTAAATTGGTTACTTTTCTCTCCAGAATCCCAGGCACTCAGATAGCAGAGAGCCATACTTAACCTATCACTGGGAGGAGCTCCATCCTTTGAAAAGGATGGCTGCTTGTTTTGTGTGTTTATTAGGGTACCTTTGGTTCCCGTCGCTTAACTCCAGGTTACCTTCATCCTATTTGAACGTCTCTGGTGAAATCAGGAATGTGACAAATTACTTAAAAATTATTTTGTAGGAAATGGAGATGTTCAAAAAGGTCTGAAAGCTGGGTTTTGCTTAATGTCAAAAAGAAATCTGGTCGCTTGTGGTGGCTGGTTTTAGTCAAGTCAAGAGCCTGCCCGAGAAGGAAGCAGCTTGTTTCTGTATCTCTGGCTCCCCTGAATGAGCACAGCCTTTCCAGTCTGCCTTACAGGTGAAGGGGGCCACTAGCCAGAAGCAGGGTCTCCCTCACACCCTGCATGGGATCTGAGACTGCTTGGCAGCATTGGAAAGTATCTTCCCATGCATGATTACTCATTTGAGTTCAGTTGAAAAGAAAAGAACGGTGTAGTGTATGTAGTGTGTGTTTACTTCTCAAGTTGTACCGCCCGATATATGGCCTCAGAAAATCAAATGAGTTAATCTTCCACAAATTTGAATATGATTTTTTTTCATTTCTTGAGCTGATTCTATTCCATATGCAGTACTTGTTTTGACCATAAGGGGGCGGTAAAATACTTTTTTTTCTCAGCTTTTAAGTCTCTTCTGGGATATCCCTTGGTTCACTAATTGGATTTGATGAAAGCACTGAGTTCAGTAGTTGCTCAGGCCTTGTGATGGGAGCAGAGATTCCTGGGTCTGAGGTCTGTGTGGGTCAGGCAGCATAATCATTCAGGCTTTGTTAATACTGGTGACATGAGATTGAAAGCTGGACCTTATCATGAAGGATCCAGTTTTTAGTAAATGCAGAGCTGAAAGGTAACCCTCTTCCATGTTTCCTCGCTGCGAATCCCATTGCGGCCCTGCAGCCTCACATCTGTCACAGCAGTGGGGACTTTGGAGTGTGTGTAAGTACACATGCTCTCACTTTGTCTGACCAAAAGGTGTCTTCCAGGTCAAGCAGGGAGGTCTCCCACAGCAGGCACCCCTTCAGGCTAGAATTTTGGCCCAGCCCTCTCCACAGTTCCTTGTCTTTGGGCTCCTGGCCCTCATCAGCTCTTTGGGAATTTTGATTGTGCTCATTGGGCATCTTCAGATGAATAGTTGGGTCTCCACTAGGGAAAACAGCAGCCTGGGAACATTTACCCTGTAGGATCAGGAAGCAGTTACCTATGGAAAGACATCCCTTACTGATGTCTTCCTGGTCCCTTTTCCCCAGCAAGACCCAAGAACCTGAACAATGCCAGACGCATACATAGAGTGGGGGCTCCTTGTAATTCCAGCACTGTCCAGAGCGGAGTGGAATCTGTGACCATGTTAGGTCGCAGGTGGCTTTTCCCATAGTGCTGAGGTCACTTGGACTTTCTCATTTCTTAAAGGAAGCCCAATTTGCTTGCCAGGAATCCTTCGCCTTAGGTTTACAAAGCCTGCTGTTGAATGTTTGTCCAAAGGAATGTGAGGAGAGACAAGCTGCTTGGTTCTGGTCCTGCCTGCAAGGTCAAAAGATTGTTTAGTCAAGAATGGGCATGTCCCTGTCTTGTCTCTATAGAGGCCCAGTTGAAGGTCACATCAAATGGGGACTCGGTGAGGGAAGGTATCTGTCAGCTGTAAAGAAGCTCGGAGGACCTTCAGTGTGTGTGTTGGGGGGGGGGGGGGGGGCGCGGTGACAGGCAGGTAGGACAGGATCTCTGGAGATGGGAAGGATGGGCATGGGCTGCTTGACCCGAGGCGCTTCATGATGGATGGAGTCAGGCGGGCTCTGAACTGGCCCACAATGCCTGGCTTCCAAGTCATCTTTTCCCCTAGCATCCTGTCAGATCCCCCGGTGTGACAATTTTCCTCCTTGTGTTAAGTATACCAATATTGTTTTTTTTAGCAATTGAAATGCACTTTTTTTATTTCAATTCAATCATGATCTTAAGTATAAAAATTTATAGATTGTTAAAACTACTTTTTTGTGTATTTTTAACCACTCAATGTAGCATTGTGTATTTTATTCTTATTAAGACTCTGGTACAAGGTGTGCCATTTAATGATTTTTTTTTCCAACATGCTGGGCCTTTGGATGTGTACGGTAATCAACTTCATGCTAATGTTCAAAGTAAAAAAGAAGAAAAAGTAGCCATATTCCTATGTTGTCTTTCTTCATTTCTTCCTTAAGCTCAGATGACATTCTGAGGGTCCCTGATTAATGATTGCGCATTTTATGTAAAATAATCATGTAAGCCACACCTGGATTATTGGTTGGTAACTCTAGTTGGTAGCACCTATCCCAGCCCCAAATTCTGCCTGCCCTTTTATGAATATCGTATTTCCTGTCCCCTGCCCACCCACTCCAGGTGACTGAATCTAGAGCTTATGCACATCACGTCAGCATTACCGTTGCTACATCTTCAGCCCTCTTCACGTTTTGTGTTTGGACACAGGGTCTCACCACATTGCCCAGGCTGGCCCTGAACTCACTCCGGAACTCAGGCAGGTTTTCAACTTGCTATCCTCCTGTCTCAACCTCCTGAGTATCTGGGATCACAGGCCTGCACCACCGGGTCCAACTGGGTGACGTGCTTCCAAGGCTGCCTACCACAGTTAACCTGATGTCCTTTGTGATGCTCTCAGTGATCAGCGCTGCCCTCGGTGATGCTCGGCTGCAGTGACCCCGCTCTGACCCGCGGTGCAGTGGTCACAGAATCCCTGAGAAGGGCACCTGGTGAAAGGGTCAGGACTGGGTGTGACCCGGCTGGAAGCATAAACACAGGTGCAGACAGCTTACCAGATGCAGCCAGTGGGTGGCAGCAGCTGGAAATGCAGTACGAGATGAGGCTCCTGTCCTCGCCCTACCCACTCCAGTCCTTGGGCCGCGCACACCACATGTGTCTAGTGGGTCCTTGCTGCTGGTCTAGGCCTAGAGAGTCAGCAGTGGGCATGGCAGGCAGTCCGCACTCTCACGGAGTCCGCGCTCTCGTGGAGCATGCTTTCCAGTGGAGAAAATCTGACCAACATGTCAGCTGAGCCTGGAGCCAAGGCCTCAATTTAGCCACGTGGGAGGCTGAGGCAAGAGGCTCACACATTCAAAGGCCACCTGGAAAACCTAGCGAGACCCTGTTCAAACCAAAAAGCAAGAAGAGATCTAGGGACGGTGTTGGGTGATTAGAGCATTCACCTAGCGTGAGTAAGGTCCTGGGTTCTGTGCTTGGCACTGGGGGAGGGGGGGAATGAATGAAGGAGTATATTTAAAATGATGTAATGCAGTGTCAGGTGATGTGGGTCCTTGTAACCTGAAGCTTGCCCTCTGAGATAGGGCTGTGCCAACTGGAGGACAGGCCAGCTCTGTCTGTCACAAGCCTTCCCAGCTCGCATCCACCCTGTTTGTTCCTTTACAGGATTCCAGTTAGGGACTCAGTGTCTAGGAAGGAAACCGTATTGTTCACATTTCCCTGTTTGAAACCTCTTAGAATGGAACAGAGCTGAGCAGATCACAGGATTGCCCGTTTTCATTCTCTTCTATTATTTTTAAGGTTTGGGGGTGTGTGTGTGTGTGTGTGTGTGTGTGTGTGTGTGTGTGTGTGTGTGTGTGTGTGTGTGTGTGTGTGTGTGTGTGTTTGGGGTGTGTGTGTGTGTGTGTGTGTGTGTGTGTGTGTAGGTGCCCTCGGAGGCCAGAAAGAGGGTGTCAAATCCTGGAGCTGGAGTTACTGGTGGTTGTGAGCTGCCTGATGTGGGTGCTGAGGGTTCTTAATTGCTGAGTCACCCCAGCCCTTTTGGATCCCTGACAGATATTAACACACTGTTTCTTTTCTTTTGGAGGGGAGGGGTGGTGTTTGGTTTTGGTGAGGTTTTTTGTTTGTTTCATTTTGTTTTTTGAGACAGGGTCTCATAGTAGCCATGGTTGGCTGGAAGCTAGCTCCCTGTGAAGATCAGCCTGCCTCTGCCACATAAGTGCTGGGATTAAAGGGTGCGCAACACAACGCCCACCTGGTTTTGTTTTTGAGATGGATTCCTGTAGTCCTGGCTGTGTTCTTGTTATGTGTTTGAGGGTGATATTGAACTCCTGCTGGTCCTGCTTCCAGCTCTCAGGTGCTAGGATTATAGTGTGTGTCACCGTGTCCAGCAGCCCATTTTTCTTATTCCTACACACTGTAACTACCTCTACCCCAGCACACATTACATCAGTGCCTTTTACACTTTGACCACAGCTTTAGGAAGAGATATATTTATAGCTGGGTGGTGATGGCACACACTTTTAATCCCAGCACTAGGGAGGCAGAGGCAGGTGAATCTCTGAGTTCAAGGCCAACATGGTCTACAGAGTTCCAGGACAGCCAGGGCTTCACAGAGAAACTCTGTCTCCAAAACAAAACAACAAACAAACTCTATTATATTATATTATATTATATTATATATATATATATATATAATATTAGTGTTTTTCTATCTAGCACACATATAAATGTTATATACGTGAATAAAAAAAATCAAGAAAGATAGCTATATATACTGTGCTCTTATTTATTTGAGACAGTTTCACTATGTACCCCTGGCTGACCTGGAGCTCACGATATAGTACAGGCTGGCCTTGAACTTACACTTCTCCAACCTCAGCCTCCCAAGTTCTAGGGTCACTAGCATGTGCCACCAGACCCAGCTTTGTTTATTTATCTGCCTGTTGATGCATGTGTGTGCCTGCCTGTTCATGAGAGTGTGTGAGTGTGAGCATGTGCTGTGTGTGTGTGTGTGTGTGTTAGATTAGTAGGCCAGAGGATAGCCACAGGTGTCCCCTTCAGAAATGTCTTCTACTTCCTTTGAGAAAGGGTCTCACTGAACCGTGAGCTCTCCAGTTAGCCTATACTGGCTGGCCAGCAAGCCCCAGTGACCCTGTGTCTCCTCCTCCCCAGCCCTGGGATTATAGTCCAGTGCCGCCAGTGCCTGGCCTTTTAGTGTGAGTTCTCAGATGAACTCTGGGACTCATGTTTACAAAGCAAGCCCTTTACAGATCGAAGTGTCTTCCTCGGCCCCAGACTTATTATTCTTCATGTGGATCATGAGCCCCTAAATTAATTTTAAGACTCATTAATGAGTCCTGTTTGGAGTACAAACCCTGTCCCACAGCAGCATATGTGTACAATCCCGTTCTGTTCTTTTGCTGCAGCAGCCTGAATTCAATTTAATCGACAGTCAGGTGGTTTTAACTGGATTTTTCAATATCTTAGGTCTTAGCAGTTTCTCTTCCTGACTGCTTCCAAACTACATGGCTGTATTTTGCACTGACTGGCCATCCTTCATCCCTGGATCCTGCAGAGGAGAATCTTCTTTCTCAGACACTTTGCTCCTCACTGGTGCCCATAACCCATTACTAGTATCATAGTGGGTAGCTAACTACAAGTACTTCTTTGCAATTCAAACATAGGCCCTCTTTTGGGAAATGGGTGCTGGGCATTGAACCCAAGGGCTCACACATCCTAGGCGAGTGCTCTACAACTTAGCTACCCTTGAGGCCCTTTATAACCCATCTTCTTTAGGTCTCCAAAATAAGTTATTGTGACTTAAAAGAAAATGTCCTTGTGCTGGGCAGGGCGTACACCTTTAATCCAGCACTCAGGAGGCAGAGGTGGGTGGAGCTCTGTCACTTCCAGGTCAGCCTGGGCTATAGAGTGAGTTCCAGTGAGACCCTATCTCAATAAAACAAAACAAAAACCTTACGTCCACACCCTTTTATAATGTGTCAAATTCCATCCGATTCCCCGGGTGTGGAGCCATCTGGCAGCTTCTGCTTTTATTTCCTTGAAACATGACTCCCAGTAAGACACACAGACTTGGAAGGTGGTGCAGAACTTAAAGCGTTTCTTACACAGACATGAGGACCAGAGTTGAGACTCTCCCAAGCCCACAGGCATGCTGGGTGGCCTGTGATTCTAGTCATCTCTCAGAAGGCAGAGACTGAATCCCCAGAGCAAGACTAGCCATATTGGTGAGCTCTGGGTTTGATTTAGAGAAGACACCTCAATGAATAAGTGAAGGAGCAATGGAAGAAGGTTCCTGACGTCACCCTCAGGCCTCCATGTATATGTACATGTGCATATCCAGAGAGAGACGTGAGAAAGGAAATGGGGGGAGCCTGGACTATGATCAGGTTTGGTGGCAGCCCATCCCTCTAATCCCAGCACTTCCCAGGGGGAAGCAGGAGGATTAGAAATAGTGTTATCCTCAACTACCTGATAAGTTTGAGAATAGCCTAGACCTTGGGGGATGGGAAGCTCAGGCTAGACCCTTGAAGAATTGGGGAGTGCAGAGACAAAGAGTGAGAAGATCTCAGACGCTCCAGGTCAGCTGATCCAACAGCTAACAGCATGCTTAGAGCCCAGTGAGACCAGCAGAATAACGACCCAATCCACCTTCAGAATCTGAGAAATCAAATACTGTTGTAGGCCACTAGGATGGGAGACAGGTTGTCATACAGCAATAGGTAACTCGAAACAGCCCACAGATTTTGGTCTAACGGTTACTAGGACCTGGTACCTTCACACAGCCCCCTGTCCAAGAAGCAAATACTCTTGATTACAATTGTCAGCTCTTAGCTTGGTTTCTGGAACAAGTTTCCCCTCGGGCATGAGCCCCACGCTCTGTTCCCAGCCCCATTCCTGAACTCTGCAGTCAGGAAATGCCGGGTTTTCCAGCCCTCTGGCTGGTCCAGTTCAGCTCCACACACCTGTACAACCTTGATTCTTCGAGTATGTAGAAGGAGAGCTTCCAGCAGAGGAAGAGAAACACATGGGCTTGTCCACAGGTGAACCCAGGGTACATCTCTCCTCCTCTACTGCATAATCCAGTGCTTCTCAACCTCCCTAATGCTGTGACCCTTTAATATAATTCCTTATGTTGTGGTGACCCCCAACCATAAAATTACTTCATTGCTACTTCATAACTGTGATTTTGCTACTGTTACAAATTGTAATGTAAATATATGATACACAGGATATCTGATAAGCAACCCTGTGGGGGTCTTGAAACACAGGTCAGGAACCACCCCTGAATCATCATCCATGGCTGTGAGCAAGCAATTTAGCCACTTGGAGCTTGTTGTCACGTCTGCAAGTGGTGACATTAGTAACCACTGCCATAAGGTCATCGTGAGG